GGGCCGGGCCGGGCCGGGCTGGGTGGGAGGAAGGTACCGCGGGCCTGCGTCTGCACACAGCCAGCTTCCGTCCTGCACAGAGAGGCCCCGAGCGGACGTCCAGGCTTCAGGCCCGAGAACTGCAGGCACCGGGCCCGGCAGGGGCAGGTGTGCGCCGGCTCCCCGTGAGTCTGGAACATGAATTCACAGCCACTTACAGTCCGTGGGCAAAGAGCTGGGCAGGTGGCGGGCGGGGCTGCCCCTGTCATCCGCGGCCTGCACTCCAGGGGCAGCTGGGAATAGACGTTCCGGCACAGGGAGTCCAGCCAGAACGCTCCACTCGGCCAGGCAGCGCTAGGCCAGCCTGGGACCAGCTCCCTCTAGAGACAGGCCTGAGGGCGGACTCCTCGGGTTCCGGGCCAGGTTTACTTATTCCGTTGTCTTATTTATTGAAGAACCGCATTGCGCAGTAAAGAATTCTGGGAACTCCATGAGCCTCGAAGTTCTCATTCAGCTCCCCTGTTTCTCGCTGTGTGACCTTGGGTAGTCCCGTCCTCCTCCGTTTCATCGGTGAAACTAGAACACAGTGCCTGGCTCGTCTCGGTCCTGGGGCGTGTGGTTCTGTGGGGGAAGTAGGTGTCATGTGCCTGGAACACAGCTGTGTGAATGAGTGATGTCGTTTTATTCCAATAAATTGTCAGGACCACAAGAATCATGGGAAACCAGTCGGATTCCTTTTTTTTAAAAAAAAAATATGTTTTTATTGATCTTTAAAGAGAGAGGAAGGGAGAGGGATAGAGAGATCAAAATATTGACGAGGAGAGAGAAATATCACCAATCGGCTGCCTACTGCACACCCCCCACTGGGGATCGAGCCCGCCGAACCGGTGACCTCTTGGTTCAGGTTCATGGGCCGGCGCTCAACCCCCTGAACCACAGGAGGATTTCTGATGGCACAGCAGCTGGTGTGGGGCTGTGGTTGCTGATCACTGCGGGTGGGAATGAATGAGGTGTGCTGCTGCCCTGAGGACTGAGGGACAGGCCTGGAGCAAGGCCTGGGCCAACACTCATTGTCTGTGGCCCTGGGCGAATGGCCAATCCTTTCTAACTGCGTTCAGTTCCCCGTCTGTCAGCGGGGAGTGATGGCCGTGCCGTGTAAATGAGACCGCATCTGAGGAGCTTCACACCGTCCAGGCACACGCAGCAACCATGGTCATTGGCTTCTTGTTGTGAATCCTCACCCAAGGATGTTTTCCCATTGACTGTTAGAGAGAGTGGAAGGGAGGGGGGAGAGAGAACATCGACGTGAGAGAGATACACGTCGATTGGTAGCCTTCCGAACGCACCCCGACCACGGCTGGAGATCGAGCTTGCAATCAGAATCGAACCCGGGACCCTGCAGTCTGTGGGCTGACACTCTAACCACTGAGCCAAACGGGCTAGGGCTGTCAGTGTCTTCAAGCTGAGAGGGAGGTGGGCAGTTTTTCTTGGGAAAGATGAAAGTGAAAGATAGCGAAAATGCGTGCAAATGGAAGTCTGCAGGTCCCTGAGGGGAAGCAGGACAGCAGGACAGCGTCTGTGTGTAAGTCCTGACAGCTGGGGACGGAGACCCCGCATGGCCTCGCTCTAGAAGGCAGCCAGCCAGGACTCTCGGGAGCCCGCACCGGGGCCTGGGTGCGCCCAGGTGCTGCTTCTAAGCCGGAAGTGAGCCGCATGCCTTCTGAAAGCAGCGCCTTCCGAGAAAAGCCACGGGGCCGCACTGCGCTGCCGCTCAGCCCCTCAGCCCCCGGGCGCAGAGCCAGGGCTCAGGCCAGTCTGAGCCTCGGTCACTGCTCTTTCCCCTGCACCCTCCATGCTGCCTCTCACCCGCACTCCGAGGGGGGCACTCCAAGGGGGGGCCAGTTCTGGGGGAGGCTGGTCCCTGCGCCTTCAGAGAAGTGACTTCTGCTGGAGGGCTCCCCCCCCCCCCGCCCCCCCCGGAGAGCTGGAGGGCCAGGCTTCTTGGGAAGTCGGCCTGAAGTCCCCAGCGGGAGGCCCAGTTGTTGTTAAACCCAGTGACCTGTGCCGGGCTTTTCCAGGCTGAGGAGTGCGTGATTCCGCACTTTCGTGAGCGAACGGAACTTCCTCTTCGCAGGGAGAGAGGGGAAATGGACCCACGTCGACTGAAGAGGAAATTCTGTGAACTGTGTTTTCCCAGCTTTGCAATCGCTGCAGTCTGAGTCGGCTCATCTTCCCCAAAATATCTCCA